TGGAGTGAGTGGAGTGAGTGGAGTGAGTGGAGTGAGTGGAGTGAGTGAGTGAGTGAGTGAGTGAGGCAGTACCGCGCAGAGACAGTTTGCAAGCATCCTTGCCACAGCCATTACAATGCGATTCGCATGCAGTGAGACCCCTTTCTTTGCAAATCACAATGGCAGCAGCGCAGAGACAGGCTTCACAAACAACTTCAATGCAGCATTTACAAGGCGATTCGCACGCCGCGCAAACACTGGTCCTGCAAATCACAATGGCACCAGTGCACAGACACACTTCGCAAACATCCTTCTCGCAGCATTTACAATGCGACTCCGAACCGGCAAGAACCAATACTATGGAAATCACAATGGCAGTAGTGCACAGACACAGTGTGCGCACATCCTGGCCGCAGCCATTACAATGCGATTCGCAGCCTGTCACAACCATTCGTGACGTGCGTCGGCACACTGTAGGGTGAAGCCGGCCCCCCCCCCCATTCAGGACACGTGACGTTTTTACACGCCAGGAGGTCCTGAATGGGGGGGGGGAGGGGACTTAACATATTGGGTTGCCAAAAACACATAAGGTGAAACGGGCTCAGTAGTGGCAATTCGCGAGGCTTAGCAGGCTAGATTGTAACAACACATTGAAGAAAAAACTGCACGGGCACCTTCAAAACAAACACTTGAAGAAAATGCTGGGAAGAAGTTGCGCAAAAAAACATACCCGCAGCTGAAACTCGCTTTGAGAGAACCGGAAATGAAAACATAGTAAACGGTCCGGAACATGTTATTTTCAAGACTGGAGTCATTGGGATTGAAGTCCAAGTAAACATACAGCTTTACCGAAGACTTCGAGGCTATGTTTTTTCAGTTTCTGGTTGAATGGCAATGCAAATCCAGGGGTTCTGTTTGCAAAGTAGAGCTAACCTCTAGACGCAATGATGTAAGTCTGCTGGGGCAGACGCTCTGGTGGCGGCTCAAATGGATTCAATTGGTATTTTGATTGGGACATAACCCTCCACTCAAAAAAAATATTTTGTCATTGGGTGGGTGTTGGTGGTGCCACCTCAGGCTTGAATGTAGCCAACAACATCAACCACCACAAGGATCTCAAGGTGATGATTCGAACCACAAGTTAGACAGAGCAAGAGCATTGTAACGATAGTTGTTTCCCATGCGTTGCACAGTGTGAGCCATGGCCAAGGCCATGGACAGTGGACGTACAGCTGTGAAACCTACACAGCTGCTAGATTTTTTGCAGCTCTCGTGTCATCGCTCTCCAAATGGAGACGCGGTGATTGACAAGTCAAGTTTACTTGATGGGCTGCACAAATTTATTGGGAAACAGCAAGAGCGGACCACCATTGGAAGAAGACTAAATCGCGTCTTGCAATCAGATCAGTGCAAGGTCTGGTGTGTCGGGACAGGCGCTGTGGAAAAAAACAACCATAGGTACAAAGTAGAAGTTGTTCGTCCGACTTTCCTTTTCTACAACCTGCACCTGGAGACTATGGGCTGGGTGAAGGCAGTGCAAGTTTTGGCGAAGGCAGCGCATGATGGAAAATTACCTTTAGATGAATCCATTGTACCACTCACAGCATCATGCAGCTTCGGTGAGGGCAGCCAAGATCCGCAACAGTTGGACAACCGCCAAGTTGTGGTTGGTGAAGGTGCGTTGCATGCGAACTGGTTGGATTCGGCTTCTGCTGCAAAGAGGCAACGGATTGATTCTGGTTCCCAGTTGGACCGGTCGGGAGATTGTCAAAGCGCAGCCAGTGTAGCCCCTACGCTGGTTGATTCAGAACCAAGTGAGTTGTCGGCAGCGTTGACACAAACCACAGAGACAGAGACAGTGGCTACAAGTGCTACAAGCGGGCATGGCTCGTCGTCATCATCATCTATGTCAACCCCAAATGCGAGAATTCACGAGTACTTGAAACGGTACAGTGGTTGGTCATGGAATGACCTTGTCAAACAGATTGCCGTGAAGGATGCGGAGATCAATGAGCAAAAAGCAAAGGTTGAGGAAAGAAATGGCCTGATTAGTCAGCTCAAAAAAAAGGTTCGGCAGCACCAACAAAAACACAGACGAAGTTCCACAGCAGTTCAAGGCTGGAAAGCAAAGGCTAAGGCCAAAGCAAATCCAAGGGTTTCCAGCAAAGCAAGTGGAAAACCTGATTCAGACTGTTCGCTTGAGCAAAGAATGGCAATAGAAAGACTTGGACACGGAAAGCGCTACCTCACCATTCCTGCACGAGCATCCCTTGCCGTTCGCAGGAATATGTCAAACGCTGCGTGCGCAGATATTGGTCTGATCCTTTTAGATGATGCTAGCCGCTATACAGTCGCCAGAGCTGAAGTACATTCAGGGTCAGCACTAGTTGCAGCTGCTCAACAGTTTCACGAGACTTTGCTTGGAGAAATGGCCCAAAACCCGATTCTGTCAGTTCATATGGTGACTGAGGACGCAACGAACAACTGCATTATCCAGAAAAAGAAGTTGACAGCCCTTATCTTGCACTCTGCTTACATGGTGGCCGACACAAACACCATGGAATCTCTCAACGCGAAAGAACGTTTCTACTGGAATTGGGACAATATCTTCAATTGGTGTCGGTGTGTTGGGGATGTTCAGCCAGTCGAGGATGGAAACGCTACCGCAACTATGTTGCTGACAGAGAAGATGCTCACGTCAGTGGGTTGCCCCACGGTCAAGTCTTTGGTGGATATCTATGCTCAAACCAGCGTACCAAGGACGCAGTTATTTGGATATGATAAGCTAGCTTTGTTTACCATGAGGATGAGGTTACGTTTGCTGCGCCTTTTTTACTTGGAATATCGCAATGCCGCAATGCAGAATAAGAATTCTAGGTTCAGGCACAAGAACAAGTGAACGGCCCAGTTTAAGGCATGAGTCGGAGTCGAGTCGGAGGTACGCAGGCATTTGGTATCTCTACGTATGCAGGCATGAGTCATGAGGCTGCGTACAACTGTCTTTGTTGACGATTCAATGTAATGAAGCTTGTGTAAGCATCATACAGGCGTACAGGTTGTAATAGGTTGTAATAAGGTAAGAGAGTATGAGAATGAATCCACTCTGCATTAGGGGCAGCAGCTTTGGAGGGTTGGGTGTGTACGGTATCTTCGTCTTCGTAAACTTGTGTTCTATTCGTCTATTCATATAGATGATAGATGCCTGGCCGTTTAAGCCACACGGCTTTGGAGCATTGTGACGTGACATGTTGTGCAAATATCATCAAAGCCGGATCAGGAAGAGTCAGTAGGGTTTGTCGCCCAGGCTTAAGGGCGTGTCGCATGTTCATGTTCACTCACTTCTCACTATTGACTGAGACTGAGAAAATAGAAAGAAAGAACGCAAACCGTACGGACGATATACGTACTCTTTATGGCCCATGGCAACCCAGGCCGCCCCTTGAAAGCTTGGTGGGTGGTGGGTGGGAGGCAAATGGCGTTAAGATAGGAAAGAGGAATGTCAGGCGGTATTCTTGTACCAAAAACCTGCAGAAGACTCATGGCGCAACACAACAGGGCGCAATGACTCACAACGGCTGGCACTAGCTAGCTGCAGCTAGCTCACCACTCACCACATGACTCCGACTCACCGCCGCAACAAAAACAGCAACAACTACTACAGAACAAACATTATCTTTGACTACTGCATGTGTTCAACCCATACCAAAGTCAAAAAAGGAAAACCACAGCAACCAAACCAAAACAAAACAGCAAGCAGCAAAGAACATACAAATACAACTGAATCATTGATACTAACAGTTACTAACACAAACACAATAAAAACAAG